ATACATATATATATATATTGCATTTAATATAAAAAGCATGAAGGAATTGGTTTTACAACAAAGAGTAAAAAGAAAATTATTGCAAGTTATTTGCCTTTATAGCAGTTATGTACTCCAGAAATCACATCCCCTTATCTGATCACAGGTTGGTACAATACAGGGGAAACTGGGGTTAAGTAAACAGCTGAAGCAAGATTAAAGTCTCATTACAGATCAATGTTTTCGTAGTCAAAAACATGAAAAAAAAATGGTTTAAGCAGTATTTCCTAGTAGTATTCCTTTTTTTGTCCCTTAATTTTCTTTAAACAATTGATGTTCCTATTTGTAACTGGAAGTATTTCAATATACCATACAAATGACAGAAACTAAAAGAATTAGAGCTCTGTGTTTGCAAATGAACTGTCAAATGTGAAAGAAATATTGGTGTGGATGAATTGAAGTAGTTGCAGGATGGGAATCACTGAATCTTAAAGATGTTTTCTTTTTAAGATGTTTGAAATCCTTCAAATAAAACTGAAACAAGTAATGACTACGGTTGTTTCACTATAGGAAGAAATATTAAAATTCTTTTTGAGAAGGACAAAAAGCAAACAGAAAAAGTAGAAAGGAAAGGCTTTTCACTGCTGAAAGGAAAGGCTTTTCACTGCTATTAAACAGATATTCTGGAGTCTCTGTTGGCAAGTACTCAGCTGCCAACACATTATCTGACATTGGTGTACAAAATGCAGGGTCTGAAACACAGTCCCACTGAGCATTAAAGACTACTGTTTTCATTCCCTAACCTTCCCTGTTTGCTCTGACTGTAAGTGCTGAAGATGATACACTTACACGTGACCACCCTCAGTAAATGTGTGCAGCACTAACACAATTGTGCAAACAAGCACAGACTCAAATACTTACTGGAATTATATATTTTAAGTAAGTTGTTCGGCGCAGATGACAAAATAACCTTTAAAACTTCCCAGATAGATAAATACTTTTCTTTCTCTCTACACATGCACACACACACGCACACACACACAGAGAGAAACTGAGTTACAAAGCAGCATGACAGAAGGCCAGTCCAGAAATCCAAAGAAAAATCTGGTACTTGCATGTCTTGCAGTCCAGCTAAGCAGCATCTGAGAGAACAAAAATATAAGGGGCATTTTAAACTCTTATTTTGTAGCTCTCATTTTGAATGAAAGGCAAAATCCTAAAATAGCATAAATGAGCAGTGTGTTCCAGGTTTGAAACACAGGACGTATTGCAGTTTTTCTCCCCTATTGCTTTAGCATTTGTAACATGTACACAAAATTATCACCTGTACTGGTGATAATTGTATTTCCAGTGCAGCCTTTAGGGTACAGAAGATGAAACTCAACGAATCGTGGAGGGTGGAGAGGAGTCTGCAGTGTTTTTTGTCAGAAGAGCAGAGCAGCAAGGGAAGCTTAGCATGCAGCTATTGATGAGACATCCTGATGGTAGGAAATGAAAAATGCAGCATAGCAAATTGAGTCTAGCTGCACAGAGGCACTGGAAGTGTTAGGCTTTCAGTGTCTGGGCCCAGTTCTTTTGGAGTCTGCATAATTCCGTCTTACAATTTATCAATACCAGCAGTTTGTATTTCTCTTGGTCAAGTCAAATGGGATATATATTCCATCTTTAGATTTAGGAGGGGCTTTACATTCTCTTTGTGTACAAATAAGCAAGTTATTGAATTTTCAATAGGAGTTTCAGACAAAAACAAAAGGATTAAGAAAAAGCTGGGGAAGTCTCTACAGCAGCTGAGCAGGCCTTGATTTCATGCTGGGCTAATAGAGGAACTGCTTTAGGGATAAATAAATGGATTTTGGCCTCTAGAAATGTTATTTTCTGTAATGATAAGAAGAGTAAAGGAATCAGCTAAAACTCAATATTTACCTTGGGTTCCAGGACGCAAGTTTTCCTCTGGAACTTGTCCTGGGTCTGTAAAGCTCTGCATCTGCCTGTGATTTTGCAGAAATAGGAGCGGGTCGGTCTGCCTGGGTGGAGGGAGGATTCAAGGAGCCCCGGTAGGTCACGGTGTGCAGCCCTTCAGCACAGCAGCAGCCACAGACTGTCCCTTAGTCCCCAGGCCACCTTGCACCAACCCCAGCGTCTCCCGCCAGGCACCCCCGGACGTGCTCAGGGGTTCCTGGAGACGGCGAGCAGAGCTCCTGCGGAGCAGGGATCATGCAGGGAGCGCGGAGGGAGCGACGCGCCAGCAGCATCCCGGAGCATCGTGCACTTTTAGCTGTCTTATCCCATCCTGCAAGTCGGAGTCTTTCAAATACCGCTTTCTTATTAGTGTTAGCAGAAGTGAACTCAGTCGTGTGCAAATGAGTGACGCCTCCACATGTTCACCATAAAATATCTGTGGCCCTCAGGAGTGCTACGGAGGTCTGGTGGACCCACAGCAGAACCCACAGCAGCACCAGCAGTTGAAGGGTTGCAGTCTGAGGGCAGTGGGAGATAAAATCTGTTTTCTGCAGGGGAGCGACTACTTTTGTTAACTCAGTAATGGTTTCACGAATTGCTATTATTTAGTCTTTGATAATGATGGGCCTGTCTCCGTACCTGCAGCTGCTAACCGGCCTGCTGGATCAAGGGCTTTGAAGTGCAAATGCTGCAGACAGACAAATGTCAACTGTCTGGAAGCTTTCCATGTGGAAAACTCCAGGAGCACCCCTGACTGGTAGGATGTTTTGATTTGAGTGGGAATGCCTTTCAAGAAAAAGCAGGTATTTGTGCTTCAACTGTTAAAAAAAAAAAGCTGCAGGTGCAGAACTTCTTAATCCCAGTTCTGCTCTCCATGCAAGAGAATTTAAGCATTAACTGTCATAACTGTCACGGACAATTAACACAACCCCATAACCTGGGGTGGTAAGCTTTTCTCAGAGCGCTGGATGCAGTGTAGGAGCAGATGGATGAGTCCACATCAACATGCTCTGAGCAGAAGTTGCTGTTTTTCAAGATGACGTCAGTGACCAGGGAGTCTCCCGTCACAGGAGCTCTCTTTACAGGACAAGCAGCTTCTCTCCATCTAAGCCCTCAGTGCCCTTCTGCCTGCCCCCCATCCACAGAGATCTGGCTGCCCCCCATCTCTTTCCTCGCCCTTATCTTCTTGGTGGAATACATTAAAGAGGATTGAGAAGTCTGCAAGAAGGCTGACTTTAATTATCCCAATATATGCTTCTCCTTTTGTTTCATTTCTGGAACATTTCTGCTTCATTTGGCAGGAAGGCCATGCTTGGTTTTCTCCCAATGTACGTTTCCAAGCTATGTGAACTTGAATTTGGGGTTGAAGGGGCGGGAAACCCAGTTCCTTACACAGTCATTGTTGTTTGTAGGATTTTCCATTGAAGAACCTTCTTCATGTGGCATTTTCAGACAGCATTAGATATTGCCATATTTGGAAGAGGGGATCCTTAAGCACCGGTTATTTTTAGGCTTTGTACTGTTACTTGTTTGACAAGGTCGGGTTTTTTTTGGATGTAATCCTCTGAATTCTGGTTTGGCTATGAATGGAAGCTGCTTTCGCAAACCCTCTGCAAAGTGCAGTTGGAAAGACTTACACCGTATCTTGACACTTCATCAATTAAAATAGCATTTATGTTTCTGTGGGGGTTGTCTGGTAGTACCCTCTGCAGTAGCAAGTTAAACTGATTTATTGATAAAGTGTTACATGTGGTCTGAACTTCTCCCTCCACAGCTTTTTCCTTTCACCTCCTCCCCTCAGGATTTTAGCAAGGGCATAGATTTGTCGCAATAAAATCACATGGTTAGCTCTTTCTAGTTCATCAAAATCCATTTGCAAGTTTCTGTTTTGACCGGAACTGCCAGAAACACACAGCTAAATTGCAGATCAGTAAGTGAAACTTTGAGTCTGTTTTTAAGGCGGATTATTACTAATTCCTTTACAAACTGGACATTTTTTACTAAACCCGGTCTTTAAGTAGAAGTTCAAAGCACTTTCTTACCCTTTGTGAGTTGCTGAAATGCTTGAGACAGTTCACCAAGTTATGTACTCTTGAAATTATCAGAACATTAATTTCAATTGTGGCCAACCTGTTGAGGAGATCTATTACCAACTAAGTACTGTGTACTAGAAATTCAGCCATTCTTTCACAGGTGTCTAAGGAAAGATGATACTTTAAAACTTTCTGTTTCTTTGGGCAGAATATACTTAGATAAAAAGTTAAATTGTGGGGAATTGAGTAAGGATTTACTGTCCATGGCATGGCATGCAAGTGGGGCAAGTAAGGTGTCTGTAGTTACCCAGGAATGAACATTTAAGTAATGATAATCTCCAAGAGTGGATGCTCATTGCCTGTGCACACCGCTTTCAGCGTCCTTCATCTACAGAAGTGCAAAGGAAATAGAAGAAAGCAAACTTTCTGATACCAGCTCTGCATGAAAACCAGGTTAACCTTTAAACTCAGATTTCAAAAAACATAGCTTTTCTCCCTCTTCATGCAGGTAAAGGTAGGGAGATGTAGAATCTTACTGGCCTCTTGGATCATGCTCTGAAGAGAACAGGAAAGCATCCACATGCTTCTTACACTCAAGACAGTGAAGACAGCACAGCAGTTATAAATGGCACAGTCTAATCCTTCATAAGTCAAGTGACTCAGTTGCCTTCAATATATGTTTGTGTGTTATTTGAGTAATATATAACCCTTTTCTGGTGCTTCATATCTTCCAACATTGTGTCAAATGAGATGACTGGGCAAACAAAGGCAACTGTGCACCCTCTGTTCTGGTACATGTTCCTCATGGTAAGGCAGTGTTACTCATTTCTTCTTCTGTAGAAAAGCAGTGAACAGATTCAGTGAACAAAATAGATACAGTCTTGGTTGTTTCTGGCAACTTTTTAAGCTTTGAACCAAAGCAAGTAATCGGAAAAGAAGTGTTTGTCGTTAGGATGAGACTGGTATTACTCCATGATGAAAGGCAAGGTTTTATGCTATAACTGCAACCATTCTGTTTGTGCCTTGCAGTGAGCCACCTCTATGGATTTGGCCTGATGGATGCTGAAGCAATGGTGCTAGAAGCGGAAAAGTGGACGACAGTCCCTCCACAGCATATGTGTGTGGAGAACACGGATCGACAAATCAAGTAATACCCGCTGCCAAAACTCTTGTTGGCATAAACTTATGAAAAGAAATTGGGTATAATTTACTCCTCCCTTGCATTGTGCTAAATTTCGAAGGCTACGCTGGGGAGCTCTCACCTTCGGACATGTCAGGTCCTGTGCCTGTAAAGATTGCTTCCTGTAATTCTCAGAAAAAGATCTGATTTAAAGAATACCCTAAAACTTGCCAGTCTAAAATAAATAAGTAAGTCAGGCTGGGTGGTGATTGACACTGGTAGAGGTGATGCACAGAAGAACAAGAATGTCTAGATGAGTGTACTGCAGTCACCTTGGAAGATGAGTACAAACTCCAGTGTCTTTTCATTAAAATCTTACTTTATGCTATTTCTCTACTGACAGCCTCAGGAAGGTCTCTAGTTCAGAGGCTAAAGCTAAACGACCTCCTGCTTGCTCAGAGAGGGTCTCTGTGGAACCAGGCATCAGAGCAAAATTTGGCATGCACAATCTGTGCATACAGGGGGAGCATCAGTCATAAGGCACATTTCCAAAGCAGTAAAATCACTGAGGAACATTTTTATTTAATAGATATACGGAGATGCTACGTGCAAAATTACTATAGTCTGCTTGGAAGTTATGCTAGTTTAAACCAGCTGAGTCAGATACTGTTTGCCTATTTGCAACAGTTAATATGTAATACTTGCTATTACTTAAGCAAGGTTTATGGATATGCCAGGCATTTCCTGGAACTTAATGACCAGCTGTGATCCCATGACAATCCCAACAATTCTTTGCTGGCCACTAATCCACAAAAAATGCTCTGCCCCAAAGGTTTATTGCTATTACGTTTTTTCGCTGTCCTCTTTTACTATGTGTACATGTCAGTATTTGCCTTAATAGAAAGCCAGATATTTGGCAATGACTGCAGTAAAATAATTACCCTTTGGTGATAGTTTCAGCTAGGAAATAAATGCTAAAAATAAGGATTGCAGGCGATTGACTTCTCAGAAGTAGTGGTCTGACACTGGCATTCGCTGTTAAGCAAAAGTGATTCGATTGTTTTCGCAGAACAAGTGAAAAACATTGACGCTGTCTTTATGTTTGTATTATAGAACTATACGACCTGACAGTGTCGTCCGTTCCATTTACAAAGCCACGGGCTGCTCTGACAACCCCAACCACCACGTGATCTACTTGGAGCACGTGGTTGTGCGCATCACGATCACCCACCCTCGACGTGGAGACCTGGCCATTTACCTGACCTCCCCTTCAGGAACCAGGTCACAGCTGTTGGCCAACAGGTACAGTACAGCAGCCCAACCTCGTGGTGTCGTCAGTGTGCACCGAGACTGCAGCAGCAGCAAAGAGTAGCCAAGTCATTACAGTAGGTTCACTGGCAGGTGCAGGATCCATATTATTTTTCTGAGAGAAATGGGGAAACTGGAGTATAAAAGTAACTGAAAGACAGCAATCTCTATTAGAAGAAGAATAGTTTGTAAAACTCTTGAGGATTATCATCTTTAAAACTAAGATTAGTCAGTTTTGATAGTTTTCTGTGGCTCCCCAAGTATTAAAAGGCTGAGCAGTGCAAAGAAATTAATGACAGGCTGAATATCGCAGAAAGAAACTGAAGCTGAATGGAGATGTGTTTCTTCATACCATTTTTTTCATTCCCCTCCTTTCTTATGCTTTTGTCCACTTGTAATAAAGATCAGACAAAGTTGTAATCCTCTCTAATTATTATTTTTAGGCTTTCCATGGAGAACTCTTGGCAGAAGAGTGCTGAAAAGTTGTATTGGCACTTCAAAAAGAATAGCTCCATCTACAAACTGCCTATTAAAATGTAAAAAAGCCTTCCGTTTCCTGCTTCCCACAGATCTGTGATATATACTTGCTCTTAGTCATCATCATACTCCTCTTAACAGGAGCCACTAACAAATATATATCCCTTAATGTCACCTCTACATTATGTTCTTGATAATCTTAGTCTACATGATGTTTCTTTTTTTTTTCCAGTTGGACTGAGACAAGTATCTCTTTATCCAGCACATTTCTAATATTAGTGCAATTTTAGGCCTTAGAAATTGCTAGCATTCGTCCTCATCAAATTGAAAGGTATTCCTGTTTTTTTGGTGGAGGTTAAGAAATTTTTGAAGAAACCAGCAATCAAGGCAAAATACGAGCAATCAAGGTCTGCAGCGTATGAGAGACTTCGTCAAACTCCACCCTAGTTCCCAATGTGCAAATAGTTAACAGTGATAAGCGATGCTTGTATAAGCAAAGTACTTCTCCAGCAGGTTAGACAACTCTTCTTCCTACAGGGGCCATAGTATGATAAATAATGTTTTTGCTGTGCTGACTGGTAGGTTTAGATAATTGCAGTTCTGCTGGGCCACTCAATGGCTTCCCACCCAAAAGCTGACACCAGTGCAGCATGTCTCACTGGCAGAAAAACATACCTGTTTTGGACAACTCTGCTGCCTTCCAGCTCAAGCCTTCACCAAAGGTAATATCCCCAGTCCTAGTCTTCAAAGTGTTCTATGAAGTGGGACTAGCCCGCCTCACCATCTCATCCTCCCCAAGCTGGCTTGGTGGCCGTATCTTGCACACCTACTGGTCCCCTAGCCGTGACAGGACCTACCTCTCCTCTTGGGCTTAAGGACCTGTTACAGAGAAGGGGAGAATTCAAGAGGATTTTGTTCTGATTGAAGGAACAGGACCCACGTTTTCATCAGAGATAAGCTTAACTTCAAAGAAAAGGAATATATTTTGTAAATATTCTTCAAGCCATACACATTAGCACATTAAATGGAGGCAAAGTTTTTCTGGAGTTTTTACCCACCTAGTCTGTCTCCTGTATTTCATTACCAGGGTTGTCAGTGCCTTATACTTAAAACATATGTGCCTGCACATCTACCTACATTCTTACTGCACTGAACAGCTTACCCCTCCCTAACCACAGGCAGACACCTAACCTCTAAACAGTTATGAATCAGGCTTTTGTTTTCTCTCTGGAAGAATCCTGCTTTAGTTTTCTGTTTTGTTTTCATGCAGCAGTTCTTCAAAATGAAGAAATCTAAAAGTCCTCCACTAGGTATCCAAACAAAACAAGCTCGTGTAAACCCAGTGGTCTTAACACAGCTAACTTCTGGCTCTAGCCTTTCATGTCTTGCAGTTGACTCACAGCAAGTGGGAGATAAAGACATTCCAGTATTCACAGTTCACCTCTGGTGATGACTAGTACGTGGAGAAGGTACAAAGTTTAATTCAATCAGTCTCTTTGTAACCGCTGTTCCTTAAAAGGTAATTGTTTTCTGTGCCTGTGATAGAGAGAAAAAGCAAATGTATATGTTAAAATATGAGATGTTCATCTCTTTTTTTATCCTGTACCGGAAGAAGTATACGCAGAAAACAAAGAAACCTGAAATGCCTCTTGGTATTTTACCTTTTTCCAAAAGCAAGTTCTTCAAATGAAAGAGCAAATGCTCTGGTCACACCAGGAGTTACTTCCCCATGCAAGCTTCAGAGGTATTCAGACTTGTCAGTCATACTTGGCTGGTGCCAACTCACAGCTCTGGGGTACTAATGTTAAGGAATACATGAATTTTGGAAAAATCTAGGTGTGAGATTTGCTACAGCCTTCACAGGCCCTGTTGCAGGATAAAGTGATGTACATGGACACAACAATTTTCAAAGCAACATTTCAAGACTTGTTTTATTTGGACTTTCTGTAGGAAATCTTACATCTTACTGGTCTTGGAATTAGTGTACTGAGTGCTGTTGGATGTGTATTTTTTAGCATTATGCTATTTAATATGAAAACCAGAGAGTTGTTTATCATTAACATGAGAATTTATTTGGTTTTGAGGCATTTAACGTTTAAAGTGTTAATCATGAGGGCATCCAAATAAAGGCATTCAAGTACAGGTAGCATTCAAGCATGTCTTGACAGCAAAGGGTCTGGGGTTTTTTGGATTTTGGGTTTTTTTTTTTTTTTTTTCTATAGTAAAAGCTCCCAGAGGCTGCTGTGCATTGCTGCTACCTGACTGAGATGCTTTTCTCAGAAATGCAAGACCTTTTAATGCACACATACTTGATTAATAGCAGCAATACCAGCTGTTTTTACTGAACCCAGGGAAAACCTCATTGCTTTACCATTACTCATCTGGGTTTAATTCAAAACAGTTTGCTGGTAAAGTATCTTGAAGTGCAAAAGGGTCTATTTTACACATGTGCAGTTCTTCTCCACCAGTTCTGGAAGAAGAGTCGTTGCGTAGTTCCTGGTGCAGGGACGAGTAGGTCTCACAGGCAATATCTGGCTTTTTTCCTTACATATTTTGTTCTTAATATTGGCATTCCCTAAAATGACTTCAGTAAGAAAACTTGTTAGTCAGAGGCGGTGTGGATTCCTTTGCAGGCATTTGGTGGATTACACTGTCACTGGCTTGAGCCTCATGTGCATTCTTCAAAAACTGCATTACAGGGAACATCTGCTTTGTTGTTTGGAAAGTACTAAACATGATTACATTGGATGTACTGCAACAGAGGAAAATACAGGCTTGGAAAGTACTGGCTGGTGTGAGGATGAGGCTTAGTCAGTCAAAATGACTACAGTTAAGTCCAAATGGGAACAGTATCCCCCTTTTAAAAACAATTGGCCATTGGATTTGGCAGCATATGTTTCAGAGTATTTTGAGACATACCAAGATCTGTTCTAGCAGACACTCAATACAGGGGGCCATGAAGGAACAGCTAAATAGAAAGAGGATAGAAGAGGCAAACTCGACACTCATCTGTCTCCCGCCGAAGTCAGGGCTTTTTTAAATATTGTCCTTTAAATTTAAAGCAGCTGCTGCCATTTGAACTGCGTAACTGAAATTTTTTAACCACGTGGTGGCAAGTTTCCAGGCCACTAGCTTCCTTTGCTTACATGGCACTGACATTAATAATACCTCTGTTCGGCAACAGAAGGAAGTATTTTCAATACCATCTTTTTTTTCCTGTAATGAAATCTTTGATAATCAGTAAAGTTTAATAATATCCCTCCTCCTCCTACATCAAAAGTGAGATACTCTCATCTAATTTCACTTCCCAGATCACATTGTAAAACCTGTAGACGATCAGAAGTAGAGAAAACTGTTTCCTTACAGGAGATGATTTTGATTTCTGAGTTCTGATATTTTTTATTACAGTTTGCACATCAAATTCCAACAACAAAAATTACATTTTAAGGGTAAAAAGAAAAGGATAAGGTCAGCCTTTGTTCTGAGTCTGTGTGTTCCAGGTAACTGAAAATTTACTTATGACATTATTAAATCCAGAATGAGCAAACAATGATCCTTGTGCTGTGTACACAGGATGAAGCGGTTCTTGGAAAACTGTTTTCTCCCAAATCAAACTTAGTATGTTCAGTTTTGTTCCTTGCTTGCCATAGTCTTTTCTTTTATTGAATAGACATCCCACTATCCTTCTTTCCACCCCCTATTCTTTGCAGTCCTACAATTTCAGTGTCTGTGTCTCCAAAAGAGAATGAGTAGTTCTTTTGTTAAACCCTGTCATTATTAGTGTCAGACAGACTGAGGAGCTCTGCGGATTCTTGATATAGCACCAAAAACAAAACAGTAAATAGTTTTTTATATCAAAAAGGAAATGTTATTTTTGATTTTCCCAGCTCAGAAAAAGCAGGAAAGACCAGGTTTATGTGCAAAGATAAATGTGGAAAAATAATTAAGTGCAATATATCTGAGATCTAGAATGACACATGCCTTCTTTTGAGGACTGGCAACAGTAAAGAATGAATCAGGGAGATGTGCAGAATAGGTATATATTGGCTTTTAGAATTCAATACGTCACGTTGAATTGTGGTGGAAAGTTGGCATCCAAAATTAACAGTTTTAATTAATTTTCCATAGTAGAAGTGAGAGTGAAGAGAAATGGATAAAGACAGATTTAGGATCCGGCTAAATGTTTCAAATCATGGGTTTTGTATTGATCTAAAAAGAAAGAGAGGAGTTATGTAAAACAGATGAGAGGAAGAACACCCATGATTTCTGCTTTTCAAGATAAATTTGCTCCAGGTACTGTGACAAGGATGAGTGGGCCTTTTTCTAGCTTTATAGAAGCTATTTCAAGCTGGGCCTGGCTCAGTCTTAGTATAATAATACTTACCACATTGAGTTGTGGCAGGAATTAATTTGATGATTGTGTGCAGAACAGTAACTCTCCCCTACTGTCCTTACCTTAATCAGAGATTCCTTTTCAGACCTAAATGACTGATGATTCGAAAAAGTGTACATATATGGCACCACATTCAGTCATGCCCTTACCTTAGGATTTACGTCTGTTTAAACTGAGATTCTTGAAGATTTACTGCAATTCAGAAGTAAAAAATTGCAGCTTTAAAGCTACTGTGAACCACACAGCTGGCTGACCAGCACAGTGTATGGAGCTTATCAACCTGACATGCCTTTGGGTGGAAACAGATCATTTCATTCTGATATGTCTAGTCTTTGGGGACAAGCTCTCCATATTCAAAGTTGATGGTTGCTGCACTCAACACTATTTCAGGCTCTACGGCCCTGTGCCTTGCTGTTCCCACTGCTGTTCCCCTAGGCAAATTTTTCATGCTTAGGTTGAGCTCAAACTGAGATCTGGATTGCTTCATAAAATTAAATGTGATAACCAAATCCAAAAGGCATTTTTAAAAACAGACACATATGCATAGCTTTCAAGTACTTTTATTTTTTTAGATCTAGAAGATCTTTTGTATCTCTAGAAGTTTCAGACATCTGCCACAGGGAGGGGAGAAAGCTTCTGAAGCGCCTGTCTCGCCACAAACTATTTCGTGGAAGCGTTCATCTCCTGAATACTTCAGTGTAAATATGCATGTCTGACTGCATGGGCTAATCAGTCCGGGCTG